CCCCCGCCCCGCCACACCCAGCCGCGTGTCCCCACGCGAACCCAAACCTTTTCCTTCTCCCCCTCTTTTTGCCATTTGCGTCTCCTCCCGGCGGGACGCACGGCCCCACCACCTCCTCCTCCTCCCCCGCTGTTCCACGGCGGCCCCCACCTGCGATATTATTCGACCAAAAAACACAAAAAAAAACACAAAAAAACAAGAAAAATACAAGAAGGAACAAAAGGGAAAAGTGTCGTGAAAAAGTATACAAAAAAAACGAAACCAATATCCTCGCACCTGCTCGCGTGCCGTCGCCGTGATTTCCCAATGGCGCTTGCAAGGCCCTGCGGGAAAATAGCCAAACCCCGCCACTCGCTCACTCATTACTGTGCCCTATTTAGGGACGCTTCTCTCTCTCTCTCTCTCTCTCTCTCTCGCTCTCTCTCTCTCTCTCTCTCTCTCTCTCTCAGTGCGTGTGACGCGCGCCGCGCCAGTTCTGCTCTATGTGCTTTTGTTATGTTGCTCATCTCGTCCGTCCCCCCCTTTTCTCTGCTATATCCCAAGTCTCTATCTCGGCCACCCTTCAACTCCCTGTCAAACGTATTAAAAAGAGGGGTGGGGGGTGGGGGTTCTGTCTTTCTCCTCTCTCCCATTTCTTGTCCGCGCTCCTCTCGGGCTCTCGGGGTTTGAGCCCCTCTCTGCTTGGCAGAGACCTTTTGGGCCGGCTCCAGGAGTGATTTGATTGGACGGCCTTGCTAGGAAAGGGCGAAGAGAGGCAGGCGTAGGCGTACGGCACGTCCTCCTTGAGCTTGGTGAAGTGAGGGGGGTCAGCAGTCGCTGCTCATCATGCAATCTTAGTGTGTTGTTCGTAATCTTCTTTCTTTCGCTCTCAGCCTGTCTGTGACGCGACGAGTCTTTAGTTTAGGAGGGAAAGGAAATAAGTGTTATCGTTTTCTCTTTTCAGCATGGTTGCCGGATTGTTAAAAGTTTTGCAAAGCATTTTTGTTATTACGAAGAAAGCTCGCTTTGAATTTACGATGCTTCCATGTCCTTCGTATTACAAGCAACGCTTTGTAGACTTTTCCTAGTGTGCTGTTTCCTCATTGAGCTTGTCATCCAGCTATAGACTGGTCCAGCCGACACGGTGTCTCCCCTCGCTCTCCTCTCTCCCCCATCTACCGCCCCTCTTTTATTTTCGTGCCATCCAGCTTTGCCATTTTCCGGCTCCATTCCGGATCGTTTATAGCCTCTTCTACCCCCTCCCCTCTTTCTCCGTGCTCTAGACTTCAACCACCCATCCATATCCAAACCACCGAACCACCCACCCCTCGCGGCCCTCTATCGCACACAAACCGCCCAATCGTGTTGCTGCGGGCTGTACATGGGCGAGACGAATAAAAACAGACCGCTTTTCCTCTACCGGTATGGTTCCCACGACTTCTTTTTTACGCACATTTCCCCCCCTTTGATTACTTTATTTGTCTAATGTTTTCGTAGTTTTTGTTGGCAGTGTGCGCGAGGGTGTGAATTAGAGACCGGGGCGGTAGATAATACCGAGGCCCTTTGCGCCGGCCGCACTCGGGCCGCACCGCCGCCGGGCCGGCCGTTCGGCTGCTGAGCGCGCCGGCTTTAGAAAGACATAACTTTGCTCGGAGCCGTGCTTTACAACCTCTGCTGCATTAGGGGAAGGGAGATGGAGATAGTGGTGGGTGGTATGGTATGGGAGGGGCCTCGTGTGCTGGACAGAGAGAGAGAGAGAGAGAGAGAGAGAGAGAGAGAGAGAGAGAGAGAGGGGGGGGGGGGCAGGACAGAAAAACTGGAGCGGAAAGGAAGAAACGGATGGGGTAGGGGGGCAGTGAGCAAAATAAAACGAACCAGAGAAATAGTGCCTCGCCCAGCAGGGAGTTGGCTCGCTGGCGCGCGGACTCTCTGTGCTTCGCCTTGGCAAGTCTGGCCGACCCCAGCAGCCCACTACTGACAGCTCGTATCGAAGGCGCAGCGGCGCAGATATGTGTGGTGGTTCACAATCATCGCGTCCTGCCCTGCCCCGCCTGCGCGCGGACGGCTTGGACGTGTCTTCCGGCCGTTTTCTGTCCGAGTCGACTGTCTTTCTCCTCCTAAACCACCCGACCCATCATCCCCACCTAGCCGAGCGAGTTGCTCACTGAGCCCGCTTAAGCCGAGCCCCCCCCCCC